TTTCTTTAGGCACTCATTACCTTCCTTACCTATTTCACCTGTCTTAAAGTGACAGTAGGAAATAGAGTTGTAGTAGAAAAAACTATGAAATTAAAGTTCTTACAGACATGTGAGCTAGAATTGTAATATTTTACCAGGAGGACTTACCTGTGCCAGGCACCATGTCAAAGACTTGCATTCATTATCTCATTTAATCCTTACAGGTCATGCAAAATGGCTTACACCTGTAATCCCCACACTTTGGGAGACTGAGGCAGTGAGGCTGAGGCAGGAGGATCATTTGAGCCCAGGAGTTTGAGATCAGCCTGGGCTACATGGTAAAATCTCATCTCTACAAAATATACAACACATGTTGCTGGGCATGGTGGCATGTGACTATAGTCTCAGCTACTCAAGAGGCTGAGGTGGGAGGATCACCTGAGTCTGGGGAGGTCAAGGCTGCAGTGAGCTGTGATCGTGCCACTCTGCACTCCAGCCTGGGCAACAGAGTGAGACCGCGTTTCAAAGGAAAGAAAATAAAAATCTTGAGGAGGTAAGAGTTACTTATAAAGGAGAGATGAAGAAATGGAGCCTCAGAGAGGTTAAGAGACTTGCCTAAATTTGCACAGCTGGTGAAGAGACGCCAAAAACAAAGCGGCTGTTTCCCAAAACCATGCTCTTAACCACACAGCGTGTCCTTTGGGGGCCCGGTGATTAGGGAAGATCCCATTTTTCTTGTTTCAGTTATTCTCAGGGCAGTCTCTGGCCCCAACAGTCTGAGCAGATCATTGAGGAAGCATCTGGTGCCCTTCACATTTAATGAGCCCCTTTGATCTGTGGAGTTTGCTGAGCTCTGCAGACAAGATCATGGTAATCCTCCCAGCCCAAATGCTGCAGTCTCAGGAGCTGGGCCAGAGGGGCTTGTCCTTTCCCACACCTTGGGGCCTGTTCAGTTAGTAAGCACACCTTAATTGTACATCGCCGATGTGCTCAGTTCTATGAAGTATGAAGAAGCAGCTCTAATCGCAGAGGATTTGAAGATGGTGAAGTGCCAGACTGTGGGTGATGATGGGAGGCTTGGCTGAGGGTCTGAGCTGGACCAAGAATTGAGGTGGGATTTGGAGAGGGGGAGACTTACAGGCACAGGTGCAGGTGGGGCAGCAGGAACCTGAGGATGGAAGCGGGGTGAGCAGAGTGGGTGGTGCAGCTGAGACTCTGATAGCCGTGTGACCTTGTGTGAGTCATTTAACCTTTCTCTTCAATTAGGGATATCTCTCATATTAAGAGAATTTTACCAGGGCAGAGTGGGCAGGAATTCATCTCAGTGTCCACGTAGCACCATTTTGGCTTTTAATACAGTTTACTGCAAGGAGCATCTTCCCAAGTCTAGCCTGAATCCATCTGGCTCATTTCCACTTCTGTTGTTCTTGGCGACATACAGGTCTGACCAGGAGAAGTTGGCAAAGAATCCCGGTTAAAGCTTTACAGAAGCCCCAAACACTAAAAAGATTATGGGCTTTCCCCCAAATGGACATAGAAATACCCTAAATCATAACCTACAAAACTTGTCTGAATGCCAAAGTTAAAATAACTTGTTTCTGGATTTCCCCCAACCCCCAGAAAATCCCAGATCACTTCCTTTATTAAAGTCAAACTTTTCTAACAGTTGGTTGTCTTTGCTTTCTTTTCTTTTTTGAGATGGAGTCGCGCTCTGTCACCCAGGCTGGAGTACAGTGGTGCCATCCCTGCTCACTGCAACCTCTTATTGCTACAGGTTCAAGCAACTCTCCTGCCTCAGCCTCTCTAGTAGCTGGCATTATAGGAGCATGCCACCAAGTCCCGCTAATTGTTGTACTTTTTGTAGAGATGGGGTTTTGCCATGTTGGCCAGGCTGGTCTTGGACTCTTGACCTCAAGTGATCCACCCGCCTTGGCCTCCCAAAGTGCTGGGATTACAGGCATGAGCCACCACACTTGGCTCATCCTTGCTTTCTAATATTTGTAATGCCAGAAGCAAGTCCCTGTGGTACCTTTTGGGGTTTTCTTCTCCCTACAGGAAAACGAATGGTTTGCTGGAAGGGAAGCAGCCTCTTGATCCTTACCCAGGCACTGGGACCAGGCCAGGTCATGCTCCTCCTTTCTCTACCCAGATTAGCATGCTGAGGCTTGGGGGGCTCCCGTGAGCCCTTATGGTCCCACAACCGGAGCCCAGGTCTTGTTATCAGCTGTGCCCTAGGCAGCAGCTCTTCCTGCTTTGTCTCTTGGCTGCTGCTTGGGAAGCAAGGCGTGGAGACTTCACTGTCGCTCAGCACCATTGCCAGGGACCAGAAGTAATGTCTCTTACCTGATGGGCAATTTGACATGGCTGCTTAACAACTCGATTAATCAAACCCAGCTCATCCTGTTAGAATTAATGAGCCTAGGAAATGCTGCCACGAATAATGAGGAATTTCGCCCCTCCCATAGCACGTCTCTCCACTCACCCCCTCCTGTTTCCTTTTCAGAGCCAAAGAGCAGCACCTCAGTACAAGGGCCTGTAGGCCTTGATGGGTGTGCCTAGCACCCAGCAATGTTGGCATCTCCCATCTCTTCTCTTCTCCAGGAGATGGCTGCCTACCTGGAGCCAAAGGCTGGCCATGTCCTAGGGAAGCAAAACCTCTTGTTCATCAAACAGATATGCATGCATTCAGCTCTCAAAGTTGAATTGAGTATCAGACTTTACCAGGCCCTTTACTAGATGTCAGGGCTGCAAAGATGGATGAGATATCATTCCTATGAGGGGCAAATAGGGGCGTGCTATAACAGAGGGTATAGGAAGGGCCTGGAGCCACAGCCAAGGGGGCCCATTGACCTTGGAGGAGCAGAGTGGGGAACCAAGGAGGGCTTCATGGGGATGAGTACCAAGGACCAGCTCAGTCGGGAGACCCCCACCCAGGAGGGCTGAAGGTATTGAGAGGCAGACACCCAGATAGCCAACAGAGTGGATCTATCCTGGGGACCAACAGCCTGAGAGCCTGCAGGACTTAGAGCTCTCCAGACTGAAGTCAGCCATGTATTTATTTGATCTTTGACAGGTGATTCTTATTAATACACAGGTGTTTTATGTAGACACATAACTCAGGAATATACCAGGTAGGCAGCTGTTACCTGCTTACCACTGATTACAAACTAAACGTTATCCTCCACAAAGGGTCCATGGGGGCAGGGTAAAGTTAATGTTTCTCAACAGATGAGCAACTGAGCAATTCTGCCAAGTTCATTCATTGCACAAGTACACACAGAGTGCCAGGCACTGATCAAGATGGCCCCCAAAGTGAATAATATGGATGTGGTTCGCATTCTCGTGGAGTGGGCATTCTCATTCCTGTTCCTCAAGGCAGTGCAGGCAACCTGAGAAGACACTTGATTTATTTTTACACGTACTTATTCAAACATGAAAACTTCTTTAGGGCCTGGCCCCTTGGGTATAGGGCTTGGCACAGGAGGAAAGGTACGCAAAGATGAACACCTTACCTGCCTTCTGGGGCTCCTCTGATGGGTAGACAGGGATATGCATAGATCCTCATAATGACATGCCAAGCATGCTAACAGGTATGTACCCAAGTCACTTTGCATAAGGTGCTCAGAGCTCAAAGCACTGTGCTGAACCTGGAGAAGTCAGGGCCACTCCCTGTAGGAGGCGACATTAAAATCATCTTGAAGACAGAGAATAACAGTCGGCAGGTAGACCAGGTGCAAAAGGACATTCCAGACCTCATTCAGGTCACAGTGAGGTCCTCGAGTGACAGGAGTTGAAATGAAAAGGAGAGATGATTCCAGGACTCTTAGAAGGAATGGCTGATTCTACAGTCCCCAGCCAAGAGCATGATTACAGAGGCAGATGGAGATCCGGAACTTCAAGACCAGCCTGGGCAACATAATGAGACCCCATCTTTACCAAAAAATAAAAAATTGACCAGGCATGGTGATGCATGCCTGCAGTTTCAGCTACTTAGGAGGCTGAGGCCAGAGCATCACTTGAGCCCAGGAGATCAAGGCTGCACTTAGCTGCGATCGTGCCACCACACTCCAGCCTGGGCAGCAGAGTGAGATCCTGTCTCAAAAACACCAAACACACAAAAAAACGCAGGTTTCAGCCACAGCCATCTGCTCAATGCTGCAGTCCACTCACAGGGAGTTTCAAATCTGACACCATCTTGCTCAATTGAGTCCTCTGCCTCTGATTCCAATTCCTCCAGGCTGGGCTTCCCAGCTACCTCCAGCCAGGCCCAACGGTGGCTGGAGAAACCCAGGCCTTCAGTGAGGGCATCTGCCCAATCTCCTAGATCCCCAGGATTCAGACCTGTATCCATGTTTTTCTCACTTGGGGACTGAGAGCAGGAGGCTTTGCTGAGGAGAGCTGGGTCCCTATGCATTGGCCTGCAGGAGACTGCAAAGGCTCCAGACCAGAGCTCAGAGCTCTACATTCAGCCAAAACGATCATCACCATGTATTTTAAAAGCCTGCACCCAATTGTTACTATCTGACTACTGGGAGGTTTTACATAAAGATTCTCACTAGATCTCCACATCTACACTGCCTAGAGCTGATGGTGGCTGTCCCTTTAACTTGGGTCTGAGCCTTCCAATTCAGTCCCTACCAGCTAGCTTTTGTCACCTGTGGTGCCTGCCTGGCCTTGAGAGCATTTGAGTTTGCAACCCTTGGTCGAGCCTTTACAGCTCCTGGAGCCTGACACCCCCTGTGAGGAGCAGAGGCTTCTGCAAACACTAGTCCACTCATCTTCGTAGAATACTAGGAATTTATAGTACTGAGGTGTATCAAGTAGGAGCAGGGGCTCAGAGCTATTGGTTGTGCTGACCGACATGGCTTGGCTCTCACGGTGGGGATGCTGGTGCCCCCAAACAAAGCCTGTGGCCTGCTTGGGTGGCCCAAACCAGGCTGCAGCTGTCACCCATTGGCCCATGGCCCACCCACCAGCCACTGTGAGGCTCGGCCTCATCACCATGTGCTATCTCCCTGCAGGGGGAGCTGCTGAGCCCGTGCCGCTGCGATGGCTCGGTCAAGTGCACACACCAGCCTTGCCTCATCAAGTGGATCAGCGAGCGGGGCTGCTGGAGCTGCGAGCTGTGCTACTACAAGTACCACGTCATCGCCATAAGCACAAAGAATCCTCTGCAGGTACGACCCAGGGCTGCCCAGTGGGGAGGCTGCGCCTGGAGCTTCCACACCACCTGCTTCAGCAGGAGGCTCTCTTCACCTTAGATACAGGGCAGTGTGAGGAAAAGGAGGGGGTGGGCTGGGTAGGCAAGCATGGTGGGTGGCGTGGGGCAGGAGGGGAGGAAAGACATTTGTGTTTTCTCTTAAGTTTCACCAAGAAGAAGAGGAAGAGATGGGGCAAAGAGAAATAGATACAGAAGGAAAGCAGTGTGGAGGAGCAGAGGAAAAAGGGAGAATAAGTAAGTGAATGGATGAATAAATAAATGCAGAAAGGAGAGGAAAAGGACAGGAAAAAAAGAAATAAAGGAGGGAGGGAAGAAGAAGAAAAAAAGAAAGACCAGAGGGCAGAAGAGAACAGGATACAAAAAGACAGGAGGTAGGAGGGGTGAGAAGAAGGACTGAGATCAAGGTACAGGCTGGCAAAGAAGAAATAAGAACAGCTTCTGTGGCACTTCTCATACTTCAATGTGCATGTAATTCGTCTGCAGTCTCGTCAAAATGCAGGCTGTGATTCAGTAGGTCTGGGGCAGGGCCTGGGATTCTGCATTTCTAACCAGGTGATGTTGATGCTTCTGGTTTGGAGACCACACTTCCAATGGCAAGGAACAGAGGCAAAAACAGAAGAGACGGGAGAGGAAGGCAGAGAAAAATGGGAATATGAGCAATAAAAAATAGAAGAAGAGGAGAGAATAATATCAAAAAGCTACTGTGGAAAGGCAGGCAGGGCCAGGGTGGAATGAGGGCCTGCCACACAGATTGAGGCAGAACTTAGGATTCCTTTGCCTGCCCCAGCACTCTATTCCTGCCCTGACTTATCCATTGTCCCAGAGGAGCTGGCGGGCCTGTACCACCCGCACAAATGCCCCAAATCAAACAGCTCTCCTTCGAGGCATACACACATACAGAGAGCATTTTGCTTCTGAAAATACCTCCACATATGCAAGATCAGCCAATTAAGCTGCCACATAATCAATTAGCGAGCATGAGAGGGAGGATGGGGACTTCAGCTCCTGGCACAGTCTCACTCCTCCTCTCTGGGGTGGTGTGGTGAGGGGGGCAGTCCTGAAAGCCCAGGAGGGCTAAGTGGGGGTGGGAGGGGTGGGGGTGGGGTCTTTGCATGAAGGAGCAACTAGAAACACCCTCAGGTATGGTGTCCAGGGTGTTTTATTTTGGACCCCATGGAGTTTTCCATGGTGCACTCCCAGGAATGTGTCTGTGTATGTGTGTGTGTGTTGCACACACACAAGTGTGCTGTGTGGGGGGCATCTCTGGAAGGTGGCACTAAAAGCCCCAGGCATCTTAACCCTCTTAGTAGAATACCAAGGAGTCATAAAGAGGTGGCTTTCCCTGCTGCTGGTTCCATCTTCAATTCATTTCAAAATCTCAAAGCGTCTTAAAATAGCAGTGTCACGAGACAGCGGACTCCACCACATCCTCTGGGCTCCAGCAGGGATCTGAATGCATTAACCCTCCCCTTCCTTTTCAGCTGGCTTAAGCCTCAAGGAAGGGTCAGATTCCAAACCCATGAGCCCACCCCAAAGCACCCTTCCTTGGCTGTACCCTTGGCTCATGAATTGAAAATGCATTTAAGGATAAGTTTTTCCTGGGGGTAAAAAAGGAAAAGGTTATTCTAATCTCCCAAGTCAGGTAAGCAAGTGGCAGTGTTAGCAATACAGATCTGTGAGTCTACTCCTGAGTTTCTACTCTGTCTTCCACTGTGGGTTTCTTGACACTCACTACTGGAGGCTACCTCTGATTCTGTTGCTCCTGGAAATGCAATGGTGTGTGCTTAGCAAATGCCATCTCATTTCTGGATAGCACAGGAAGAAGGAAGTAGTTTGGATTAGAAGCGATGTTGTGTGGTTGTGGTCCTCATTGTTTCAGTTGTGTGTCCTGCACTCCTCGGGCCCAGCATCATGTGAGACAGCTGCCTGCTCAGCACACTGGACAACTTCTGGGCTACTATGCCCCAGCCCAGCTGCATCATCTGCAGTGTAGGATGGAGCCGGCAGGCCCCACCACAAGCGGGCAGATCTGTGGATGGGAGTCCCAGGCACAAGCATGTTTGGGGATCTTCCTGCCTTGACATGGCGATCTGTATTTTTGCTAGAACATCATGAAGAATACCCTTCAAAGCACTGGTTTAAGATTTCATTTAACATAACACTCTAGGAACTTAAAAAGACCAATTCTTTCCATTTTACAGAAAGGAAATTGAGGGTCCTCATGATTTATTGACTTCCAGGCTACACTCAGTGCATAGACCTGTGCGCTCAGGAGACGCCAGAGACTTGGATTCGAGGGGTGGATGGGAAGCGGGAGGAGACAGGGCAGAGAAGGAAGCCCAATCAGGATTGGGTCATCTGATCCCTTGCTCAGTGCCCCTTCCTGTTCTAAGACACACAACATCCGGTCTCTGTGCTCTTCCCCTTGTCTCTCTGTTCATTGGTGCTGCAGGATAAGAGCTCAGGGGATGGAGAAGCCTCATGATACTGAGATCACAGTAGAAATCTGGTGGCAGCCTGGGTCCCTGGGTGCCCATCTCCCCCTCCCAGCCCTCCTGTGAGTTTTCAGAGCTCGCTCACTCCCTCATCTCTGTGGAGCTTCATATGGGAAAGACAGGATGAGAGTGACTTGTCCATAGCACCCCATCCTGCTCCTTCGTCACGCTTCACACTACAGTCAGGAGCCCCATTTAGGCTTCACAGCTGGCTTCAGAGCTGGTAGAAGGGGCTTAGGGATGAATAGAAGCTTTCTGTGCCTCTATATTTGGCATTTTTGAAGTCTAGAGGAGCAGGAGAAAGTGAGGATTATGGATGCCTCAATGGTAGAAACAAAAACTCAGCCAGAAGCCCTCTTTCCAGGCAGTGGGCAGGCCCTGGAAAAAGCATTTGTTGTGCATGAAAGAAGTCTGTATGATGAAGTCATCTTCTGGAAAATCCTTTTATTATGTGTAACCCTAGGCTGAGGGAAACAGTGGAAAATGTAAAGGCCCGATTACCTGTAATGAGAGGCTATCTGTATAATTAAATGTAGAGGCTGATGTCCTATGTCTGGACCAGCCAGTGACACATTTCCCAACAGTTACAATTCCTTGGGGGCCACTGGCCAGGCCAATCCCAGCTGCAGCCAGAATGAATCAATGCTTCCATCCAGGTCTCCCCGTTGGCAGAGTGAAAGTAGTCTGCCTTTCCTCCAAGTTCAGAGTGAAATGCTTTGTGGGGGTGTTCTTGGCAGAACGTTAGGCAAATCTCTCCAATCAGAAGATGTCCTTCTCCCAACCTTCCCAAATTTGACCTGTCAGTCCTTTGCTTAAAACCATTCATGTCATCACATCTACACTTAGGACAAACTGCAAAGTCTCTGCCTGTTCTACAAGATTCTGTGTGATCTCTCATTCTTCCTTTTCCAGTTGTCTCACCCCACAAGCTCTTTTACTGTCTTCACTCCACCCACTCTCACCTTCTCCCAGGCTTTTTATCCTCCCCATGCTTTCTTCTGGCACAGGCCTTTGCACATGCTCTTCCCTCTGCTGGAAGCAGTCTTCCCTCCTTTCTTCGCCTAGTCACTTTTTAGTCAGCTCAAGCATTGCTTCCTCTGAGAAGTTGAATCCCCCTATCACAGGTTCTCACTGTGTCACGTTCGTTCCTCCCTGACTTACCCTTGATGAATTGCATGTGCAAATAATTACATTGTTGTCTAAGTTCCCTAGACTATAAGCTCCATAGGGGCAGGCACCTTGTCTGTTTTCACCTAGGGCTTTATTGCCAATGCCTAGCATAGTGGCCAGCACATGGAAAATACTCAATATATATTCCTTAAGTAAGTGCATGAATAAACCCTACATTAAAAATCTAACTCCTGGCTCCTTCAGACCTGTACTGCCTGGACCAGCCATAGAATCACAGAATTTCAGAGTCGAAACTCATCAGCACCCTAGCCTTTAACCCCTCTGTCAACACTGCTATAAACACAGTGCTTTTTCTGTTAAAAAATGAAATATCAGTGTTGATGTACATTCAGTAAGTTATAAACTGTTTTTCTACTCTCTCCCCACATTTCATTCCCTTGTCTACAGAATTGGTCATCTCTAGCACATACATTAAGTGGCATGCAAGGTGATGTAGAAAGCAAGAAAAAAATCCAAAAGATCAGAAACAAAAGGCCTGTGCACTCTCAGCACCGATTAGTGAGAAATAGACTCTGTTGCTCTGAAAAGAATCGTCTGGGAGCCTAGAACGCCACCCACACTAGCTCTGTATTTTCAACATTCCCTCCATTTCTCTGTCCATATCATAATCAAGTCTAAGGGTCTTCCTTTCCAGCCATGCCCATCTAGAGCCCCCTCTTTACAATGAACTGTGATCATTTGGTGTGACAGAGATTTCCTCTGCATCAAAACTTCAATGTGAAGTTCAGAAACCTGCAAAATGCCCATTGTACCACAGGTTGAAAAGCCCTGGCTTAAATCCTATATCAGAGGTGAGCTATTGGAGCAGTAGACAGAAGAGGGGTGGGAATGGGATGAGGGCATCTGAGCGACTGCTAACTGGCCACTCTTTCCCCCACAGTGGCAGGCCATCTCTCTGACGGTCATTGAGAAAGTTCAGGTTGCAGCCGCCATCCTGGGCTCCCTCTTCCTCATCGCCAGTATCTCTTGGCTCATCTGGTCCACTTTCAGCCCCTCGGCAAGATGGCAGCGCCAAGACCTCCTCTTCCAGATCTGCTACGGGATGTACGGCTTCATGGATGTGGTGTGCATAGGTGGGTCTGGGGGCTTGTCTCCATGGGAAGTGGGGACCCATGTGCTGGTGGGATGGACAGGTCCCTCAGGATCCCCCACTGTGGGAGGCTGAAGCAGATATGGTCCCAGGCTTGAGACCTGTGCACTCAGGAGACGCCAGAGACTTGGATTCGAGGGGTGGATGGGAAGCGGGAGGAGACAGGGCAGAGAAGGAAGACCTACATCTTTCCCAAGGAAGTTCGTCTCGCACAGTTGAAGATAAAGACAAGGCTTTCCTCTAGGAGGATTTGAGAAAGGTTGTTAGTCTATACGCCTCAAGCAGGATGTGCATGACTTCCTCTCCATTGTGCACCCTACACTGCCAGGTATGACAAGGAGGCCTGCCCGTTTCATTCCATTCTCTTCACAGCAAAATGCCTAGGGACAGCCATGGTCAAATCTGCCCTGACTCCCTGCCTCTTTTTTAGCTTTCTCTAAGCCCATTCTAATGCCCTGAGTTTCTCTAGTCCAGTGATTTTACAGCTGTGTGTAGTGCTGGGCCCATGCACAGGTCCAGGCTCCTGCATCCCAACCAGGGAATGGAAAAGGATGCTTCACAGAGAGGCTTCAGATTCTCACTCCTGCTTCTTCATGGCTTCTGTTCTTCTATTTACATGGATTTCTGTTCCAGATAAGGTTTTGTTTAAAGGTTTCAGCGTGTTAGAAAAAAAAATTGGACCAGGAGCAGTGGCTCATGCCCGTAATCCCATCACTTTGGGAGGCAGAAGCAGGCAGATCACCTGAGGTCAGGAGTTCGAGACCAGCCTGGCTAACATGGTGAAATCCTGTCTCTACTAAAAATACAAAAATTAGTTGGGCATGGTGGCAGGTGCCTGTAATCCCAGCTGTTCAGGAGGCTGAGGTAGGAGAATTGCTGGAACCCGGCAGATGGAGGTTGCAGTGAGCCGAGATTGCACCATTTCACTCCAGCCTGGTAGACAAGAGTGAGACTGAGTCTTAAAAAAAAAAAATGGGAACCCACTGCTTTAGATCCTGCTCCTTCCCTGACCCCACCCCCAAGTTTATATTCTTCCTTTCTTCCACTATGTAGTTTGGGTGGTGGAGTGCTGGGCCTTTCTCCTCCCTCCCACAACAGATGATTGTGGCTGTTAACTCTGAAGACTTGGTCCAAGCAGCTAAGGAGGTGGGGAAGCACTGGTCAGACATCCCGCCCTGGAACTCACAGGTTATCCCCTACATCACAGTCCTGGGAGCATTAGAGTTCCACAGTTGCCCTCTCTGAGCATTATTAGTGTGTATATTGTATTAAATAGGCTACAATTCTCTGTTTGGCAGGAAAATATCTATTAGCTAGAATTTGGCTGGGATGATGTTTGTGTGAGTTTCTTTAGAGTTCTTTAACATTAGGGGTCAGAAAAACCTGGAGACTTACATACTGGTTGCAGCAGCCAGAGACCAGGGATGCTGGAACTTGTAGACTTGTCTAAGCCATCTTGCTGTCTCTCCACGTTCTCTAAACCAATACATCAACTCAAAGTTCAAGAGTCTTTTAATTATGGCATCGAGGCAGTGAGAGAAGCAGACAGCCCAGTTTGGAGGACTGCGAATGGGGAACAATTTGACATTGACACATTCTAATTTTCTTTTCCCTCCCACCAAACTCTCCTCCTACTCCTGCTGAGCCCTGGATTATTGATGCCAAAAGCCAGGTGTGTCTCCATATGGAGGTTTACAGCATCTCTGGTATGGAAGGGGGAAACAGTGGAGGGGCCCCTCTAGCTGCCCTTCATTCTCCTTCAGGCAGGCTTTAGATCAGTCTCTGATGTGTCCTTCTATGAGACATGCTTTCTTGTCACATGATGTATTAGCCAGCTAGTCAGTATTGGCTGCAGTAACAAAGAATTCTGAAAAGCATAGTGCCTTACCACAAACTTTTATTTCCCATTTGGGGGTTTGTGAGATGGCTGTGCTTCTGCTAGGCTTGGCTGGGTTTAGCTTCTGGTTGTGCATTGGGTTCAGGCCTGCTCTGAATGTCTCTTCATGCTGGGACCCAGGCTGAAGGAGCAGGGACTACTGGATGCTCTATTTTCCTCATTGAATGCAGGAGAACGAGAGGGCTTTGTGGAAACATGCAATGCATCTCAAAACATCTGCTCAGAACTGGTGCACTGTCCCTTCTGCCCATAGCCTATTGGCTAACACAAGTCATCAGTAAGCCCAACATCAGTAGGATAACAGGGCAGGGAAATATGTTCCTTCCCTGGAAGGAGCATGGACAAGAGAGAGGAGCATAAATACCCACCACCATGGATGGCTCTACAGATTTGAGGACCACATTGAATATAGAAGAGACCATGGCATCGACCAGTCTAGCTCACTTGCTTTGCAGCTGAGAGAACTGGGGCTCAGAGAGAGGAAATAATCTGCTCAAGGTTCTTATCTAGGATTAAAAGCGAGGTTTCCTGACTCACAACCCAGTTCTCATTCCATTAGCCCTCTTGTACCAAATGGCAGGAGTCCCATGGTATGACTTATGGGAAACCTGCAGGTGCCACCTGTGACTTTGAGTGCACCTGGGCCCTCTCACAAAGGGGCTCTCATACATAGGTCTATTCCCCGTGGCTCTGAGCCTCCCAGTGCTCCTGCTCAGGCTTGCCTGGTGCTCTGGTCTCTCCTGCTCATGGTGTCTCTCTCTGAGTAGGGCTCTGCGCCATCTCTCCTCCTCCTCCTCTTTCTTGGCTTTTTTCTAGCTGCCTGCCTTTTCCCTGGCCCACTTCTATCTCTCTAATTCTATTTCTTATATACATGTGGCACTCAGTCCTTCATTTATGGGAGATACCGAGTGGGCTAAATATTGAGAGTTTTCATTGTTTTTCTTTCTTAGAAAAAAATAATAGCCTAAGATACAGAAGCACACCATAATTTATCCATTCTGTGCTGAGAAGTCAGTGACTGCTTGGAGAGAGCCAGAGGATGGGAGGGGAATGCAGAGGGACCCTAATTGCTTTCAGTGTCATCCAAAAGTGGTGAGATCTATTGACATTCAGACCATCTCACCTTTAAGGGGTTCAGACAGCTTTATCATTGTATTGGTTGTAATAATAATCTATTCAATTTCAAAGCATGACCTCGGGAGCAAGGATTCGTCTTCCCATTTTTCAGATTGTGAAATTCTGAAACAGAAGCATTCTGACTCCCACAGCAGAGTAGGACTCTCAGTTCAGTGTTTTTCTAGGAGAGACTGTCCACAGGGGAAAATGCCGGGAGGAGAAATAAAAAGGAGTGATATGTGATCTTGGAAGAGAGTGGAAGGTGCCAGGCAATGGCGAGAATCCACAGACGGATTCTTGGGGTTGCAATGATGGGGATTTTGATGATGGCAACATGATGATAACCAGTAGTGATGATGGTGGTTTCAGGGTGAAATTCAACTGCTCCTTCTGTGCAGTATTCTGTCCAGTAGAGGGAAAACGCATCATACTCACAAGTAGGTGTAAAAGTAACTGCTTTTTAGGGGCTTTCTGGAGGGAGAATTGGGTACAGTCTGCAATGCCTGCCAGAGATATCTTTATTTTTAGGCTCAACTAGACATTCTGACTCATGGGGACTACCAGAGAGCACAGTTGGCATTAGATTCACTCAGGGCAATGTAGAACAGGAACCACAGCCTCCCGTAGGGCAAGTCAGGCTCACCTCTAGAGGGAGTCCTCACCGCACTCCACATCCTAGTCCCCAGCTATTGTCTTGGCTCCCAAACAGTAGCTCAGGAGCAAGAAGATAAGACCCACAACCATGGGTATAGGGTCCATTAGGGCATCATTTCCAGGGTTCCTGCAGAAGCCAAACTCAGTTCAGGCCACTGTGCCTAGGGAAACCCAAAGCCACAGGCTCCCAGCAGGCATTCACAGTAAAGCACCCATCAACCAGGGGTGCTTTACAATCCAAGTGATTACAGCCCACACTCCCCCTCTGTCAAATTTCCAGGGGAGAAGAACCAGAATGCCTATCCAGGGTCCAGTTTGTTTTGAGAGAAGGAGAAAATGTCCCCATCACCCCTCTCCTACCACCTCCTGCCTCCGCCCATGAGCCTGGACCTGTGGCCACCCAAACCTGATATACTGAACCAAGGAGAGATGGAGAAGCTAGAACAGGGAACAGAGACCTGGCTGGGACTACCAGAAGGAGGCGCAGTGTGGTCTTCTTGCTGCATGAAGGTGGAAACAAAGGCAAGGGCCACGGGAGGCATCTATCTTACATTTGAGGCATCTAACATTTGAGACATTCAATGGTTTCAAAACCTGATTAAGTTAGTTTGCTTCCACGAAAAAGGGGGAAGCTCTCCTTCCAGAAGTCCTGAGAGAGTAGGAGAAGATAATATGAATGGGGAGAAGAAGAGGAGGCTCCCTGGCAGAGAGTGGGTGGAAGGGTTTCAGCAGAGGGGCATCTTCTCAAGAAATGCTGGTTGAGAAAAATGTTGACAAAAAGCATCAGTATCCATAGGCCCAAGCTCCTTGGATGGGTGGAGAAGTTCAGCACCTGAGATAAAAATGTTATCCTCAGGAGAAAGGAAAATGGATCTGGTTGACTCAAAAGGCTGAGTAAGAGAAGAGGAACAAAACCATCTGCTACTATGAGTCTCCAGACTGTCTATATATTTCAGATACCAAGGAAAATTTGTTTATTCCCTAAGACTGTCAAATGGCCACAGATAGTAAAGAATATGAGTAAACATAAAATGGCTGGTTTGAATGAATCGTTAACAATGTATTTACCTTTCCTATTGGAGTGGTGTGCTGAGGGACAGCTCATGAGAGTGGGAGGGGCTCCAAGGAGAAACTGTGGAAAGCCAACAGCAGCTCTGCAGATACGCCCTGCTAGGAAGCCAGGAGGATGCAGTGTGGGACACTGCCTGCTTGCTGCTCACGGAGCCACTTCAACCCCATCCACAGCTGTATCTACCCGACTGGCTCTTAGGACAATTAGCAGTCAGTGAGAAGACTCCAGAGCAGTGAGTATTGGA